CCTATTCTAGTAGCTGGTGGAAAGTAAGCATTCAAAGACATTACCTGCCAATCAACAGCTTGATAATAGAAAGCTGTAAGTAAACACCGAAAGACCTACAAACTTTTTCCATGATGGGATATGGAATCATTATTTTCTTCTAGTTTCTTTCAATGCTTTTATTGGTTGTTCTAGAAAGATAGTTTCTGAAATTAGTAAACATTATTACTGCCAATTGGTAGCTAAGTAAACATAAGCTCAGAAAGAGTAAAAAATGAGAGGATAGAGTAACTCAGCCAAGAAAGAATCAACAATAAATGAATCTAATTCCTTTAACTAGAGAATCAATAACTTATTCTCAAATTCTCAATTAATAAATATGGGTTACATGAGCAAGTTAATTCCAGCTATATTTCCACATACATTTATTGAACATTTCCTAAATGTCAACACTATTCCAGGCTTTGAGAAAAAAGTGGTGTGTAAGACAAGTAATACCCCTGCTATCATGGAACTTGTATTTCAGTGGTTAGAAATAGAAAAGAAAAAAAAAAAAACACAAACAAGAAGGATATCAGAAATGACAAGTAGTGTGAAGAGCATTAAACTTGAATGTGACCATGTGACTACTTTAGATGGTTAAAGGAGGGCTTCTCTGAGGAGGTGACATTTCAGTTGACACCTGAATGATGAGCAGACAATTATACAGAGATCAGGAGGAGGAGCATTCCAAGCAGGATAAACATTCCAAGGCAAGAGCGAGCCTGGCCTATGGAGAACAGAAAAACCAGTGACAGGAATGTTCAAGGAGAGTGGCCTGATACGAGTTCTGAGAGTCACTAGGAGTTGGGATGGATGGATGGATGGAAGAGGAACAGAAAGAAATGAACAAGAGTGCTAATTTCAGGTTAATCAGAGATTCTTTTATATGTTGATCTTTTTGGAAGTTTTCTATTAGTTCACAATCCTGCCTTAGCAAGTACTGAAACATGCATATAACACTTATTATTTGATATTTTAGGAAGGTGCCATTCCTTAGGTTATCACCTTAAATTATCAATGACCACAGGTAGCACTGAAAAAATTCATCTGTAGAAAGTATAATAAAGTGGGATGAATAGGTATTAATTTCAAGTGATACCCAGGAGGTGAATTTTCAGTATTACTTGAATTGAGTCTGTTTTGTACTGATTTGCCCTTTTCTCTTCATGGAGTGTAAAAGATAGTCTTAGTTAATGATTTACATTCACTGATTCTGATCAGTAAATGTTTCCTAGTACCAAAAAGGTGTTTTAAATGATTCTCAAATTTCTCTTATCTTCTAATATTTATCTGTTGTGTAAGATTTTATTACAGCAAATTTTCAAAAACAATGTGTTTTTAAGGTTTTTGGAACTGAAGCCCAAGTGATTAAACTGTAAATAAGGAGGTCCACTGCCCTCTATGACCTCACACAAATCAGATCATCAATCAAACTCTCAGTTCCTCCTGCAAAAACTGAGATATATGCGTAGTCTTCAACTAGAATCTCAATAAAGAGCTTTGATTTTATCAGATAAAATTGTTTTTATAAATATAACCTTGATATTTTACAAATTTTAATCAGCAACAGATTCTAGAGCTGACATTGCACTCACCTCAGGATTACTCCCGTGTCACCCATTCCCAACCAGAAGCTTCTTTGTCTAAAGTCCACAAAAACTGTCAACAACCACACCATTTAATGGTGGTTTGAATTTGCAAATACTTTCTCTCAGCAATCACAAAGCCATATCCAGAAATATTCATTAGTAATTATATTTGCATGTATTAAATGTAGATTAAGAGGATTTTATTTTAACAAGATTTTATTTACCAACTAATTAGAATGACAATTTATTATAAGTATGAAAATAATTAACTTAGAATGAATAGAGTAGTATAGCTTTTCTGGTTGTAAGAGAGAAATAAAATCATTTCTCTCCGACTCTGTGGGCCCTGTTTTGCACAGCTACTTATATCAGTCATTGTTATTAATTTCACATTTTTACTTACTCTTTATTTTCCCAGACATTTGAATTCTGGTGCTGTCAATGTCATAAAGGTCTTTTAAAGATAAATGTGCTATGTATCAAAAGCAGTTGTTTAAATAAGCTTTCAGTTCTGACAGCTTTGCTCTTGATACTTTTCATAGCAGCAGGGAGGAGAGCATTTTACCATCAGTCATTCTTTGTAATGCTTCCTTTTTCTTCTTCCAATCAAAGTAAATATGTTCTTACAACTAACATTACCCTGCAAAATGTTTCCTCATGTTTAATGAATATGACCCTGAGTATAATGAACAACAACAAATAAACAAATGAAATCCCAATACTCCCTTAAAGAACAGGGAGAATTATTCACATTACTTCCTTTATACATCAGTCAGTTTTGTCTCCATATTATTTGATCAAATGTCAGTAAAGTAAATAAGAAAAATAAAGCTTCTTTGCCAGCACGATAATTAGATCATTAGTTGGCCAAGCAGAAATTTACTTAACTTGAAAATATAATGTTTAGGAAGCACTAATGCAACTAAGTATATACTCCTACCTCTGACATTTTCAAAGACAACTTCATCTTCCATTAAAAAAAAAAATCTATTGTCGTAAGATAAAAGGGCCACAAAACTCCAAGACTTAATCCCTGCTTCAGGCTAATGACAAAAAAATATTTTTTATTTTTTTAGTTCACATCCTGAAAAAAATTTCCTTGACAGAAAATGTCCTGAACTAGACTCCGAAAGGCAAATGCATTTGCTTCATTTCAGTTTTTCAGGATGACAAAGGAGAGAAGAGTCAAGAAGAAACATAAAAGTTGACCTCAAAAAAAAAAATCTGTTTCAAATATTAAAATATTTTTTAGAACATTGGACAACTTCAAATTTCAAATGTTATGCTAGAAATAAATATTTGAATGACAGAACACCTTACCCTTGTACACCCGGGATTAAAAACCGTATCATATTTATTTCTAATCATGTCACTGAACTGCTACTGTTTTCTGGGCTGCAAATAAACGACTTATTCATAATAATGTGACACAGTTATGTGTGATTGATTGGAATGAAATAGAAAAGGACTTTGTCCTCAGTGTAAGCTTAGAACAGGGCCTGTCCAGTGCACGCTATCAGTCCAGTGCACGCAATCGGTCCATCTGCAACCAGCCAGCTGAATTACCCTTCTGGTAAGACTCAGTAGAGTTTTTTACAGTATAATATCCACTCTACAATAGATTACCAATCCAAAATGCCTCTGTTTCAAGATATTTCTAGATTCTGATTCATTATAATTCTATGACTTGAAACTTCTCTGGGACTTTTAACCATGTCATCAGGGTTTTTCAAGATTTAAGGAGAAAAAGACAAGTGGACAAAGTACTCCTCAATTTTTGTTTCTCTTATAACAGAAAACACTGTTATTGATAAAACAATGAGTAGTATAGAAATCTTCTTGACTGTACATGCCTTAAAGCTTTTCTTTTTCTTTGATTTTTCCTTCTGTTTCAATAATTAGGCCAGGGAAGGAAGAAAGGAATTTCTAATCTAGTGGTCATGCTCCACACACTATAATATTGTTGCTGTTTTTCCTCTAGCCAAATAGTGTCATTAATCAGCAGGAGAAAATGTGCCGCAAACTATCTATACAACCTCGTATTATCCCCAACAGAGAGCTGAGACTTAGAAAGTTGCTTCTGAAAGAACTTCTGTCACAGAAAAGAACTGTGGTGGCGTGCCCAAACGCTGGAGCAGGAGCACGGAGTTCAGGGTTAGTTTGAGCTCTGGTTATCGACAAGAATAAGGAAAATTTAGTGAATTTACTTAATGAATGAGGACTCATTTAAAAACTGCTTTTCCATATAGCCAGTCTTGCTTGTAGAATAATTAAAGTCAGTCTAAGACACATTTTTACCCCGAAATTTCAGTTATTTTTTGTACTTAAGGGGTTTATGAATATAATTCTTAAAAAAAAGAAAACTAAACTAAAAACTGAGCAACTCTACTTCTGATATATTACTTTGACAATACAGTTTAGTTTAGCACACTGTGATTTCTATTGATTGTTGTGTTTCTTTTGTTTGGTGACACTGTTCCTTTGATTACATGGATTCTAGCAGTTATCAGTTATTTTGACTGGTATCACGTGGGTAGCGCTTTGTATTATTCTAAAATGTAATGTGAAGATACTCATTTGATTACTTGAAAATTAGCTCAAATCTTAAAGTATGCATTTTAAGGATTCTGAAATAATGAAAATACCGAATCTTCCATTTTGTCTCAAGTTCAGTTGATATGAATACTGGTTCCATTAATGAATATTTAATCTTGATATTCTAGATGATACACGTATAAAAGATATTTGCATCAGTAAGAGCTTATTCTGCATATATGTCATTGTGTGTTAGTTATGCAAATGAGTGGCAGATCTGTAGTTTACATTAATATTTAGCTACAAAGCCAATACTGAACAAAAATTATTGGTAAGTGTAAAAGGCTTTATGTGTAAGCTCAATCTGCATATTAATAATAGAATACACATTTAATAAGTAGATATTCATGAGACTTAGAATTTAGATAGATAAATGGATGAAATAAGACAAAACTGAAGTCATGACTAATCCCAATAACCATTTCCCACTCTATATTTGCATATAAAATAGGAAGTAATTCCCTGGTACCATTATTTTTTCTTCTTAAGCAAAAATAATTTACTATCAAATATTTAAGGAATCAAAATAAGAAATCACTTCTAAAAATGCAAATTATTTAAACAGATGGCAATTGCTACACATCTCAAAGGAGAGTTTAAAAAAAATTTTTTTTAATGTTTTATTTATTTCTGAGAGAGGGAGAGAGACAGCGTGAGGAGGGGAGGGCTCAGAGAGAGAGAGGGTGATACAGAATCCAAAACAGGCTCCAGGCTCTGAGCTGGCTATCAGCACAGAGCCCAATGGGGCTGGAACCCATGAACCGTGAGATCATGACCTGAGCTGAAGTCGGACGCTTAACCGACTGAGCCACCCAGGAAGGAGCCCCTCAAAGGAGAGTTTTAACTTTACTAATTAAAAAAAAAAAAAAAAAAAGAGTGCAAACCAACATACACAGAAAACTATACCAAAATAGGACTTGCCCTGAAACTAGTCCACCTCACCATCCGTAGAACACATTTGTAAACATCTCATATTTGATGTTGACTAATTCAGCTACAGCCACAAAAGAAACCATGATTCTAATATTTGCACTCCGGACTTTGCAATAGATACATTGCAAAATCCAGATAGGCTTTGTTCCCCTCCCCGACCCACTGCAATTTAGGTGGGGTTTCATTCAAGTTTCCATACACTTTTTTTTAGAAACTAGTGAAAAACACCTTCCTAGAAGGGATTGCTAACTGCAGGAAGCTACACGATGTTGCAAATTTGGTGGAAATGCCAAATTCGATCCAAATGCGAGTTTTAATTGCCATGTTTCAGTCCACCAGCGAAATGAATCCTGACGGCCATAAGGAGATCAGGCATATCCCCCGGTGGGGGGCTTATTTCATTCTCACCAACACCAGCATCGGGAAGAAAACCGGCAGACACAAGCGCTGGAAAACGACCGCGGGCGCCCCGGACGTAAAACTCTACATAAGTATCTAGAGAAAAAGGAAGAAAACTGGCTTTTGCAGATGAAAGGCCTCAGAGGACCTCTGTCAACAGACATCTTACCATTAGAGAAGAATTAAAATGAAAGTGAGCATCTTTGTTGGGGGAAATGGCACCGACAAAATTGGATCAATAATCTGATCGTTTCTCCACACCCCCCCCACCCCCCCAGCAGTGTTTGACCGGACCCAAGGTAAACTGCAACAGAGAACTAACAACTTCACAGAGTACAGATCAGCTTACAGGTCACGGGAGACAAGAAGCGGAGTGCACAAGATCTACCTGTCCTTTCCTCTTCCTTTAGAAACAAAATCAAACCCTGTAAGAAGCTTTAAAATTCCAGGAAGTAACAAGACAAGAAATTACATTTTTAAAATGCTAACATACCAATTCTAGATATCAACAACTTTGAAGGTTCTGGACCTCACATTTTTTCACAAAAATCTGTTATAACGGGAATTGTTCATGTATCTGTCACAAGATTCGATTCTAAGGTGCTGTGATCAAACCTTGGATAGCTTCGGTCAATTCTCCTCTAGTTATTTGTTTTCCTGAAGGTCTTTCTGTGCCAATGTCTGAAAAGAAAAATATAATAATTTTTCATGAGGAAAATGAAATTCTTAATGAAGGAATTCCATTAAAGTTTATGTAAATTTAGCACAACAATAAATGGGATTTCTAAATTTTATTTTTGAAAATTTTTATAAAAATACATAAATCCTAACATTTTTAAAAGAAATGTTTACAGAAAATGAATATGAAACAAAATGTAATGTAATAAATTAAAATGACATTTTAACATATCTTAAAGCTAGCTATATATGTCTTCCATTAAAATAGAGCGTGGCAAATACTGAATTCATTTTATAAACAACCAAAGTAAGAGGTTAAAAGCAATTTAAAGTGCTCCCACACAATCAGAAAATAAATTTCCAATAATTGAATCCAAAGTTCCTGAGATCATAAAAATCTGCAATAAGAAAGTTTTAGGACCAAATATAATACAAGTATAATTTCTGCCTATCAAAAACAAAAAGCTTTTAAGCATTATGATAGTTAAACCCCTTCAGTGCATTAATCCTGTGACAACTGTTTCAGTCAAGGGAATGTTGTGAGGTCAGGTTTGAATTTTTTTAAACTTGGTTTGAAATTGTACATATTTTCTTTGAGTAGAACTTGTTTTATGTAGCACCTAACTCTCCAGGAATTCAAAACACTTCGCTGATTTATATCCTGACTTTAGTTTGGTTCATTGGTGCAGTTTCATTTCTTGGAGCTAGTGAAGATCCGTGTGAAGGGCAAACCGCTAGTTTGATGGTATGTCTCCCAGCAAAACCATTCTCGCCAGTAGGTACAGTGAAGCTGAACAGAAGTTAAAGAATCATTGGTGGCTTACCAACTCCAGAAATTCTATTTCTGTTTGGAGAGCTTCATAAGCACTTTGCATGTCATCTTCCTTATAAAGTTCTAATTCTTTCTTAAGTCTGTTTTAAAGGGAAAATTCGCTCTATGAGTTCAGCAATAAACTTTTACAATAATTTTTGATTATTATGGATAGTGGCAGATTTGAGTTTAACACTAAAGAGTTTGGAAAGAAATTTTAATTCTCTATAATTCTATAAAGACTATATAAAATGTTGAAGAAGAAAAAAAAACTTCCATAAAGAAAAAGGCAGACTAAACAAATAGTAGACAATTTTGGGTTAGTTAAAAGAGCATCATGGTTCAGTGGGAAAAATATAGTACTGTCTGAAGAGCTCTATTTTAGCTCTGGCCACTAACAAGCTGAATAACCTTGGCTAACTCATTTAGCCTCTCTGAATCTCACCTGAAAAATTTTAATTACAGAAAAAAATGACCTCAGAGATTTCCTCTTGCCCTAAAATCAAACATTAACTTTATGGTACACATATGTAATTAAAATATATTTTAATTTTAGAGTAGGAAAGCAATATCAATACTTCTTTCTTTCAATTAAGCCTGTAATCCTTAGAATATTCTGAAATTAAAAAATAATTTATGTCTATATTTAATGTAAAAAATAGTGAAAAATAGTCTTCTATTTTTAGCATTAGGATTTTAGCATAAGCAAAAGACATGAACGGCAGTTGGGGAGGTAGAGAATTAGGGCGGCTGGGCAGGTGAGGCTGACCTGAGGTTAGATAACAAGAGGAATACTGATCTCCCAAACCTAACCCAGTTGGGCAGCCCCGAGGTGAAGGGAATAGATCAGCTTGAACCTCTGCTAAATTCCAGCCCTTAAGGTATGTCTGAAGGGGTCCTAAGCCAGTGGCATTCCCTGTACACTAGAGAAAGCAACAGAAAATCTTCTTTCAAGGAAAGTTTAACATATTTAGATCTACAGGCCACCCACAGATTAGGAGGAAACCATAAGCTCACAATCAGAGATCACCCAGCACCCAAGAAGGCAAGTAAAAGTTAGAAGACACAATAAACAATAGAGTGTGTCCATAATATATGAAGAACTACAAGTCAATAAGAAAAAGACAACACAATGGAAAATGGGCATACAAGTGCATATACACACACACACACACCTATACACATACCTCTACCAGATTATTCACAAAAGAAGATATACAATGGTTAGCAAAGATATGAAAAGGTGCTCAACTTTATTAGTTATCAAGGAAATACAAAAGAAAAACACAATGAAATGCTATTACACACATATCAGAAAAGCTGAAACATAAAACAAGCAACAAGTATTGACAAAGATATGACCATCTGCCACAGGGGCTGCTCCTTCACATTTGGTTGCAGAATGAAGATGAGGAGAAGTGTGGCTAACTCCCAATGAACAGCTAGTGTGATTAAGAAATAAACACTCATTGTAAATTATTGAGAAACTGAGCATTGGTGGCCACTAACACCGAAAAAACAACAGGCACAAAGCTTCCTGATGGAAAAACACTACCATCTATGATATAGCTTTGCCAAAAAATTTCAACCTAAATTTGATCAAGCTTATAGATCCAATTACCAATTTCCAAAAAATATATTAGGTCAAAGAAACATGTTCAACCTTACAATGGGAATAAAATCAACTACATCCAAACTGTGGGAAACCCTACAGGATAAAAAATTGAATTTCCTTAGGGCGCCTGGGTAGCTCAGTCAGATAAGTGCCCAACTTTGGCTCAGGTCATGATCTCATGGCTCATGGGTTCAATTGAAGCCCCATGTTGGGTTCTGACAGCTCAGAGCCTGGAGACTGCTTTGGATTCTGTGTCTCCCTCTTTCAGCCCTTCCACTCCCCATGCTCTGTCTCTATCTCTCAAAAATAAATAAATGTTAAAAAAATTTTAAGTCTTAATTTCCTCAACAAATAAATTACAAGTTAAAAAAAAAAAAGAAAAAAGGAGAAGCTTCAAGATTAAAAGAGATTTAAAAGACACTGTCAGCTCATTGTCATATGCAGACCTTATCTGGATCTTAATTCAGACAAACAAAAAACTGACACCTACAAATTTTAAGTGTGAATACTGACTAGATATTTGATATCAGTTAATTATTATTTGTTCAATTGCTATTAATTATTTCACGCGTAAGAATGGACTCTAGTTATGTTTTTTAAAAGTTATTTTTAAGAAACATAATAAGATAATTATATAATTATATGAGATGTATGATTTGCTTCAAGCAATACAGAAGAAAAACAAGTGGAGACATAGGTGAAACAAGACTGGCCATAAATTGATAAATGTTAATGCTGAGTGATGAGTATGTAAGATTCATTATATATATTTTTTTACCTTTGTATGTGCTTTAAAGCTTCTAAAATAATTCTCTTAAGAAATAGAGCTTAGTGAAGATAGTGGTCATAAAGTCAAAATACAAAAATCTGTTATAGCTCCATGTACCAGCAATAAACAATTAGAACATGTCATTTAAAATAAACACACTATTTTCAACAGCACCTAAAACTGCAAGGTACCTAAAATTAAAACTTACCCAAGATGTGCAAGATCAATAAACAGAAAATTATAAAGTTTTACAAAAATATATTTAAAAAACTAATTTAGATAGCCAAGGTTCATAGACATGAAGTCTCAGTTTAATAAAGATTTAAAGTCTCTCAAAAGTAACTATGATAATAAGTGGAATTGTAACCAAATCACAACAGATTTTCATGGATATGATAAGCTGATTCAGAACTGTATATAGGGGCACTTCGGCTGGGTAGCTCAGTGCCCCTATATATCCTTAAACCTGTATATTAAACCTCCTACTCTTTTTTTTTTAAGTTTTTATTTACTTTGAGAGAAAAGAGGCAAGCAGGGGAGGGAGAGAGAGAAAGAGAGAGAGAAAGAATACCACACAAGGCAGGACTAGATCTCAGGAGCTGTGAGATCATCATGACCTGAGCCGACGGGACGCCTAATTGAATGAACCATCTAGGAGCCCCTTAGAATCCTACTCTTGATTTCACCTCAGGTCATGATATCAAGGTTTGTGGAGACAAGCCCTATGTCAGGCTTCACACTCTCAACACAGAGCCTGGCTGGATGGAATTCTTTCTCTCCCTCTCTCTTTACCCCTCCCCCACTCATGCATGCACACTCTCTCTCAAAATAAATAATAAAATTAAAACATAAAAAAAAAGAAATGTCCATAAAAAGTAAAGGGCCAAGTATAGCCAACATACTCCTGATAAAGATCAAAAAAGACAAAGGGAGTGTCCTACTTTGTATCATGATTCCTTATAAAGTAATTAAATAGTTAAAATGGGATAGTATGCATTTAGTAGTAATTAAGACAGTTTTACACAGAAATCAACAAACTGAGCCATGAAACAGGAGATAAAGTATAATATGAAATATCCATGTTATATAATATAATAATATCCATGTTATATTATTATTTTTAATAAAAGACATGACATTGTAGACCACCAGAGGAAGAAGAAATCATTCAATAAATGCGGCTGGCACAATTAGTTATCCGTGTGCAATAAACATGGGTCTTGTTGCACACATAGACAAAATCAATTTCATATAAACTAGAGACTTAAATGTGAAAGGCAAACCTTACAAATTGTTAGGAAAAAATATAGGACAATATCCTGCTGATCTTAGTTAGGGAAAGAGTCGTTGAACAAGATACCCCAATGCTAACCACAACAAAAATGACTGATAATTTAAACCACAGTAAAAGTAGGAACTCCAGTAAAGCACAACAGTGTAAAGAACTCCAAAAAAACCGAAACCGAAACAAAAAGCTTCATAAGTTGGGAGGAGATACCGTCAGCATGTAACAGACAAAATCAAGAATTATTAAAAAATCTAAAAATGAAAATCTTCTAGAAGTCAGTAAAAGACAAGTACCCCAAAATCCAGTAGCAAAATAATTATGAAGTGTTTTACAGAAAAGAAAACACATGGTCTATTGATGGATGAAAAGAAGCTCAATCACATAGATAGTTAGGTCAATGCAGATTTAGACCACAAAATACCATCTTCTATCCATGAGATTGGCAAAAGTTATTAAGTCTGAAAATAAAGTATTGAAGAAGATGGAGATCGGGGGAGATTTTAGAATGTGCTAATGGAAATATAAACCATTTTAATCACTTTGGAAAAATAGTTTGTTGTTATCATGTAAAGTTCAACATTCATATGCCTTATATGCAGCAATTCCACCAGGTATATAACTTAAACTCTTACACATGTGCATCAGGATAATCACCGGAGCACTGTTTGTGAAAACAGAAAACTGGAAACAACCCAAATGTGCATTAAAAAGAGAAAAGAAAGTTGTGAGATACTCACATATCTACACTCAACAACGTGGGTGAGTTTTAGAAACTACGTTGAATAAAAACAGTATCATACCATTTTTACATAACTCAAAAATAAACCAAAAGAACCAATATGCAGACACATATATAAACATATGGCATAAATTTAAATAAATCATAAGGTAACAAAGAAAATTATATGTAAGAAAATGGACTAAATGCCATATTACACACATACACGCACACTCAAATGAAACAGTGTAGGACAGCAATTACATGTGGAGTAAGGAGGGTATGGTATAAAGGAGGAGCCATGGCTAAATGCAAGGTCTGGTTTAGTTCACAGGTGCCTATTATATTATTATACCTTATAACTTACACATAGTTAGGGAAGAAAAACATAATAATTGTAGGGATGGAAAAGGAAATAATATTCTATATATGTGAACTTTATTGTGTTTTGAACTTTTATGAATTTAATAGTAAATAGGAATCCTGAAGGAATACTTACATAGGAAAGATAAAACAGGTTATTAATTTTTGAGCACTAGATGTTTACACAAGCATAAAGCCTTGTAATGAATATTTTTAAAGAGTAAGTGGAAAGCTGAATGGAGAGTTACAGGGTACTGTGGAGGCTACTCTACAATGTACTTCAGGCTTCCTCTGAATACATTATCTTTTCAAATAGAATGGTAGCGATCTTTCTTCCCATCATACCAT